AGTTCCAAAGCGAGCCTGAAATTCCAAACTCCGAAGTCCTGAAGACAAAGATGTTCCCGGGAACCCCCCAGGGACAGACCACCCTAAAACCCTAAACCCTAAACCCTAAACCCTAAGATGAGCACCTGCCAGCAAAGCATCCCCTGCGCCGGTCACCTGGATTCTTGTTACTTGGAGGCCCAGGGGACTTAGTAAGTAGGTTATAAGCAGAGTTATATTTGGGGTAACTCCATTTAGGGTACTTATAACTCTACCTATAACCTACTTACTAAGTCCCCTGCGCCTCCAAGTAGGGGATTTGATTTAGGTTACCATGATAGGGATCTACGATCGTGGGGTTAGGGTTTAGAGGTTCAGGGTTTAGGGCTTTAGGGGTTTAGGGGTTTGAGGGTTTTAGGGCTTTAGGGGTGTAGGGGTTTAGGGGTTCAGGGTTTAGGGCTTTAGGGGTTTAGGGGTTTAGGGTTGAGGGTTTCATTTGAGAGTTTAGGGTTCAGGGTTTTGCGTTAGGGCTTAGAGTCTCTTGCCAGAAGCTCTAAACGTCATGTGTGCCAAGAAACCAGAAGGTGAGGCTTTCGAAAAATTCGGGACCCTGCATAAGCTTACGCAATGGGGATTGTGTATGGCTTCGGAATAAGGGGTTCAGGGACCCTAACCCCCTAACCCCTGAACCCTAAACCCCCAACTACACACTATTTGCGCTAAACCCCTAAACCCCTAAACCCTGAACCCCCAACTAAACACTGTAAGCCCTAAACCCCTAAACCCTGAACACCCAACTAAACACTACAAGCCCTAAACCCCTAAACCCCTAAACCCTGAACCCCCAACTAAACACTATAAGCCCACCCCTGAACCCCTAAACCCTGAACCCGAAACACTAAACCCTAAACCCCTAAACCCTGAACCCTATCATGAGCAAAACACCGGTGGCAAGGCAAAGAGGGCTGAAAGCGGAATCGGTTTGGGCACCGAGCTACGTAGCATAGGTTGAACCTATGGCTTTTGAGGTTGAGGCTTTAGGGTTTAGGGTTTCGGGTTTATCATGAAAGAACAGGCCCAAGGCCCATAACCCTAAGCTCTTAACCACAGAACAGAGGCGATCATGTGTTAAGATGCTGAACTGGTCTTCTGGTTATATGATAGGGATGCTGCCAATGGACGTCCGTGATTTTGGGATTGTTTGGGCTTCATAGTTTGGGGTGATCTCCGAACCTCACCGTTCAATCGAACCTGGGTGAACATGAGGGATTTAGGTGGGAGAGCTTTGAGGGCAGTGGGAGTTTACCCTAAACTCCAAACCATCATACACAAGACACATACCGCAAGCGTAGTGCTGGTTGTTCAACAGAAAACGTCCAGGGTTTGCGGCTTTGCGATTTAAGCTCGTGTTTCTTGAGTTGTTCTCCACCCTTCGCCGAAGCACAGTCAAGTAATATAGGGATAGAGAGATGTTTCGGGGTGTGTTGTAGTGTACTTCAATCAAGAACCCCACAGGGAATAGTGTTGGTGACGAGTCGGGCCCCTAAAATTCAAACTACCCAAACTCCGACACTCCCTCTCGACCTTAAAATGTACCCCTTCCCCTCTCCCCTGAGCGAAGCGACATCACGCACCGTGTCCGCGGGTTTCAGGAGCCGGTACCAGAGGAGCTCGCATCTGCACCCGGAAGTTCTGGGGTTTAGGAAAGTATAGGCCAGGGTTTAGGGTTTAGGGTTGAGGGTTCACTTACAGTGTAGGGCTTAGAGTACCTAGACCTACAAGGTACTAAATTTAAGGGTCTCGGTCTAGGACTGAGAGGTTCGGGGTTGAAGAGTTTAGGGTCTGCTGTGTTTCCTGTATGTTTGATGCAGGAGTGTAGTATGGTATACGGGCCTTCACAATAGAATTATGACAAGGAGCTCCAAAATAGTCATGCTATTTAGTTATGGGCTTCTATCGTACTTAGTAGGATTTGTGGTGTGGACTTGCTTCAGTGTGTCCCGGATCTTTGTAAACGGATCCTGTTCTGCCTTGGTTCGTATGATTCACATCAGGACCGGTCTGACATGAACCCGGGCCTGGTAGAATCCGAAACCCTAAACCCGAAAAGCCTAACTACATCAAAAAACATCCTAACATCCTAAAAGCTTTATAAGCCCCAGCAACCCTGAACCCTGAACCCTAAACCCTAAACCCTGAACCCTAAACCCTAAACCCTAAACCCTCAACCCTGAACCCGAAACCCTAAACCTCAAACTCTTAGAAATATGCTGCCTGCTGTATCCTTACCCCGGAGGCCAGACCCCAAACCCCTCCGAAGCTTCCGTTTTCAGGCTTTTGGGGGGGGCTTCCGTTTACGGTTTTTTTCAATGTGCAAAGGCCCCTCTTCTGTGCGGCAGACGAAGCCCATCTCACTTGAGACGGTTTAGGGTTAAGGGTTTCAGAGCTCTGGGAAAAAAACGAAGGGTCTGAACTCCTAGATCCTATCCGGGTCTAGGAATTAGGCTTAGGCTCAGCCTCAACCCTAAACCCTAAAGCCTACCGTAGGGGCCTTAATAATTACAACAAGGCTTTAAGGGCCCATTAGACTTTATTTATGATAAGGAAACCCCAAAATAGTATTGGAAATTAATAAGGCACCTGCATTAAGCGCTTAGCCTAAACCCTAGTGGCCCTAGCTCACTGCAGGCTGAAAACCCTAAACCCTAAACCCCTAACCCCTAAACCCAAAACCCCCAAACCCTAACCCCAAACCCTAAACCCCTGAACCCTAAACCCTAACCCCATAGGGTTTCCTGGGTATCCGTCTCCTAGGGCCCGCACCCGCTCTCATGCAGCGGCTCCTTCTCTGAGGAATCTTAAAGTGCTTTGGGCTTGGCGTTGGGGTTTAGGGTTGAGAGTATATGGTTTGGAGCTTGATTTTAGTTCTTTCAAGGCTCTTATACAAGGAAAGCATTATACAGAGCCCGAAAAAGGTCGGATTTGGTTTAGGGCTTGGGGGAAGAAGCTTTGGGATGTAGGACAGCCCTCGGGCATGAGCCCTAAGCTCTTATTTTGTTGGGGGCTTGCGGGAAGGCTTAGGATTCAGGGAGGCAAGGAATAGTGTACCGGGTTGGGGGAATATACCTATAGTCTCCATTGTAGTTCCTTTCTGGGGTTCCCTTATAGGATCCTTAATATAAAAAGGGTTAAACCCCCCCCAAAAAAAAAGGAACTACAATGGAGACTATAGGTAGGCTTGGGTGAGGGGTTAGGATGAAGTGCTCGTGGCGAAATCGTTTCACCGAGGAGCTCTGAGGCTTTCGAAACAGGGAATTTGGACTTCCAATTATGGAATCGTATATAACCCAGTAATCCCCAATTCTCCCTAGTACTCCCTTAGGTTCCCTAAAGCTCCCTAGGACCCTCCCCCCTTGAGCCACCCTCCCTTTAGGATCCTATAATCCAAGCTTTGGGAGCTGGATTTTGGGGCTGTGAGCGTTGGCGGGTTTCGGCACCACAACCTAAGCCCAACTGACTTATTAAAGCCCCGAGCCGTCCAAAGCTAAACCCTCGGATAAACAGAGATGAGCAATTCATTCTTTGCAGGTTGAGCCAGTGATTGGTGCTGCCGCAGGCCTAGGGTGAAAACGCTAAGCCTGCAACTCTCAGGGCTGCTAGGGCTATTGGAATTGTAGGGTCAGGGCTTATGGTTTAGGGCCTCCTGGAAGCCTCAACCCCAACCCCCCCTAAACCCTAAACCCTAAACCGTAAACCCTAAACTCTAAACCCTAAACCCTAAACCCTAAACTCTAAACCCTAAACCCTAAACCCTAAACCCCTACGTAGTAACCCGTGGACTGAACTGCAAGAGCCCAAGTCGCATCCTCAAGGCTTACCCTGGCTCTATCGATCCTGGGTTCACTAGGGATTTAGGGTTTAGGGTTTAGGATTTTGTTTAGGGTTTAGGGTTTTGTTCAGGGTTTAGGGTTTAGGGTTTGGGGTTTAAGGTGTCGGCTTTAGGGTTTGGGGTTTAAGGTTTAGGATAGTAAACCTTGAAAATGTTGTCGAAATGAGGATGACGGGTTGCAAAACGGACGGCCTGCAGCTGGAGATGCAGCAGCGGAAGCTTCCTGGCATTCAGGTGAAGCCCTACCTATCGTCTCCATTGTAGTTCCTTTTTGGGGTTACCTTATAGGATCCTTAATATAAAAACGGTTAAACCAAAAAAAAGGAACTACAATGGAGACTATAGGTAAATCCTAAGCAGGGTTCTTGCGAAATGCTCTTGAAGTTACCATAACGAAGCTGTCGTGGGTTCAAACAGCACATTCAGTACGGCTTTCGATTTAATCCGTATAGGGTTGCTGTGCCTCGGGTTGCGGAGTTTAGAGGTGACATGATTCAGACTTGCGGTGAAATAATAAGACTTCTGCTGCAACTGATGCCTGTGTGCATCCACCACCCTAAACCCTGAACCCGCGCTGTGCGGCGGAACCACTTGGAGCTATTCTCGCCAGTCCTAAACCATCCTGCGCGTCCTAGCAAGTAAACTAACACCTCTACAAGTTCCACGATTTCAAACCATCTGGGAGAGCTTCCAGAATCCCCAAAACCTAGATTCTAACTAAACTTTCTGCTGCCACCCCAAAGCACTAAACCGTAGCTCCTTGCATCATCCGACGTCAGCATAGCCGCCTCAATGGTAGCAGTTTAGGGCTTGGGGTGTTTTGTTTCAAGGCTGTTTCCTACTGCATCAAGAAGCTGACACCCGGTAAGAACACATCACATATTCTTCCTGAACCCTGAACCCTTTTTTTAAATCCTTTTGAATAATTCGTTCCGTTGATGTCGGCTCGTGAGCTTGGTGCGTCAAGTTCGTTGAGGTGCTGTCTCGGACTGATATTGTACAAAAGGCGTAGAGACCCGCATCGCTAGCCTCGTTGCCCGTGGACCGACAGACCACAAGAGTCCGGATGAACCCTGCCTTCACAGTTCAAAACTCTGAACTAGACCCCATGATAAAAGAGGCCTTCTTGGAGGCCCCAACCCCCGCCACCAGAAATCCTCCGACAATACTTCACGGCCCTTCTCCCTGCAGCCCTGTTGGCACATCTTGGGCAACTCCGACAAGTCTAAACACCTCTAAAACCCTAAACCCTAAACCCTAAACCCTAAACCTCAAGCCCTGAACCCTAAACCCCAAACCCCAAGCCCTGAACCCTAAACCCTAAACCCTAAATCCTAAATCCTAAAACCCTAAAACCTAAATTGAGCAACGAGCCGCGCAAGCTTCAGGGCTGGGCCTCACCTTCGGAGCCTGGGGCACCCGGCGACGTCCAGGGTGAGGTCGCGCAGATGCTCTCCTGAGGAGGTTGTGGCTTTCGGGCCGTTTCGGGCGGTTTAGTGTTTAGACTTTGGGGTAGGGTTTAGGGTTTAGGGTTTAGGGTTTAGGGTTTAGGGTTTAGGGTTTAGGGTTTAGGGTTTAGGTGGCTCTCGGGCTGCAAGCTTTGAGGCTTCTAGGCTTCGTGCATGCCTGCGGCTTGCTGCTTAGAAACGGTTCTGGATTCGTTGCGGCTTTGGTTTTATTGGCCTTACCTATAGTCTCCATTGTAGTTCCTTTTTTTGGTTTAACCATTTTATATTAAGGATCCTATAAGGTAATCCCAAAAAGGAACTACAATGGAGACTATAGGTAAGCTAACTTATCCGGAGCTGCGGTCTCCTTCCGACCGCTTCTGTGCCCACTCAATCATGGCCCCCGCATCCCCCAAAAGGGTCTAGGTTGCGGGCTGAAACAAACTCACAGCATCAAGTTGCGCGCTCGATCTCAGCAGGGGCGAAGTGAACCAAAATGCACTGCAAGGGCTTAGTTTCTTTTATAAAGTGGGTATGTGCACTCCTTGATTCCCTAGCACGAGCCATGTAGGCTATCCACTCGGTTTAGGGTTTAGGGCCTCGTACCTTCAGCCCGGCCCACTTCTCAAACCCCTAGCCGCCCCAGCTACCCATAGGCTTCTTAAACTAGATACACCACAGAACACCCGCAACTACAGCCCTGAACCCTGCTAACCCTTAGCCCTAAACCCCGTTCCTAAACCCTAAACCCTAAGCCCCAAACCCCAGACCCTGAACCATAAACCCTAAACCCTAAACCCTAAGCCGTAAACCATATACCCTAAACCCTAAACCCCTGAAATTCCTAGGGTCTCTGGCTACTCAGCCGGGCACTCTGACTGCTGCTGGAGGACGTGGCCACGTCCGCCTTACTTCTCGGTGCTGTAGGAGCTTTAGGGTTAGGGTCCAGGGTTTAGGGTTTAGGTGTTTAG